GGGCCCTATTGGGGCCCTCTTGGGGCCCTCTTACGGCCAACCGGGGGCCCGAGAGGGCTCCGAGAGGGCCCTCAGAGGGCCCCAAGAGGGTTCAGGAGTTCTGTACCAGCGGCCGCTGGGTTGGTACATAATTCCCGGGGCCTTCTTGGGGCCCTCTTGGAGCCCTCTTGGGGCCCTCTTGGGGCCTTTTTGGGGCCTTCTTGGGGCCCTCTTGGAACCCTCTTGGAGCCATCTCATGGGCCAACCAGGGGCCCAAGAGGGCTCCAAGAGGGCCCCAGGAGTTATGTACCAGCGGCCGCTGGGTTGGAACATAATTCCTGGGGCCTTCTTGGGGCCCTCTTGGAGCCCTCTTGGGGCCCTCTTGGGGCCCTATTGGGACCCTCTTAGAGCCATCTTATGGACGGCGACGACAACGACAACGACGACGACGATGACGACGACGACGACGACAACGACGACGACCACGACGACCACGACGATGGTGGCGACGACGACGACGACGACGACGACGACGACGACGACGACGACGACAACGACGACCACGACGACGACGACGCGCCCGAAATCAGCCGACAAAGCGACCCAACACTTAAACCGACAAAGTGTCCTTCTTTTGGCCGCAGCGGCTCCGAGACAGCCTGCAGGGCAGCCTTTTTTTTGCCGCAGCGGCTCGGAGAAGCCTGCAGCTCAGCGCGGTTTCGTCTGCGGACGTCTCTGCCCCCCCCCCGAGACAAAAAATCAGCCCGAGGCCCCCGGTGACTTTTTTCTGCCCGCCCTTTCAAGGCCCCACGGCTGGCTCTTGGGTCGAGGAAGAAGAGGAGCAGGAGGACGAGGACGTTGATCGAGACGAAAACGAGGAGAAGAAGGAGCAGGAGGACGAGGAGGTTGAGCAGGGGGACAAGGACGAAATGAGAGGCCTTAAGCGGCTCCGAAAACCCTGCAGCTCAGCGCGGTCTGATCTCGGAGCCGCTTCGGGCCTTTCATTCCGTCCTTGACCCCTTGCTCAACCTCCTCGTCCTCCTGCTCCTCTTGCTCCTCTGGTTCCCCTTGATCACCTCCTCGTCCTCCTGCCCCTTCTCCTCCTCGGCCCAAAAGCTGGCCGTGGGGCCTTGAGAGGGCGGCCCCACAAAAAATCACCGGGCCTCGGGGTGATATGTTTTTCCTGGCTGGGGCAAGGGCGTCCGCAGACGAGCCCGCGCTGAGCTGCAGGCTTCTCGGAGCCGCTTTGGGCCTCTGATTCCGTCCTTTCCTCTTGCTCTTCCTCTTGGACTGTTTCCTCGCCCTTTGGGGCCCTTTTGGGGCACATCTTGAAGTCAGCTTGGGCCGTCTTGGGACCATCTTGTGGACATCTTGGGCCGTCGGACAACCGAAAAAGAAAACGCGCCAAAATTATTCAACAATTGAAGGGAATACAAGCATCTGGGCATTTCGGGCTCTCCTGGAGGTCCCCTTGAAGACTTCCTAGACTGTCTAGGAGGCCCCTTTGGATCCCCTTGGGGCCCTCTGGGCTGTCTTGGGCCATCCCGGGGCTATGTCGAATCGTATCGTTGCCATCTTGGACGTTTTGGAGCCGTCTTGAAGGCCATCGTGGGCGCCTTGGAGTTCTCGTGGGCCGTCTTGGAGGCGCCTTGGGGGCCTCTTGGACCGTCTGGTGGCCGTCATGGGGCCGTCTTGGAGGCCTCTTGGGCGCTCTTGGGGCCATCTCGAGGGTCTCTTCGGCGGCATTGGGCCGTCGGCAGGCCGAAAACGTCAAAGTCCGTCAAGAGCCCACGGGAAGTCAGCTGTCTTTGCCTCTTCGGGCCTTATTGCAGGTCCCCTTGGAGGCTTCTTGGACTGCATTGGAAGCCTCTTGGGGGCCTTTGCCGCCGTCCTGGGCCATCTTGGGGCCATCTTGGAACGCCTCGGGTGCATCTTGGGCCGTCTTGGAGACATCTTGGGGCCGTCTTGGGCTTTCTTGGGGCAATCCTAGCCGCCTTGGAGGCATCTTGGTGACCATCTTGGGCCATTTGGGCCGTCTTGGTGGCGATGTGGGCCACACCTTCTGGTCCTTCCGAGGGGCAGGCGGTCTGGGCCGAAGGCCGCTGGGAAGGGTTTGAAAATCACAGGAGCAGCAAAATGTCTGGCACGCCGTCCACCCCTGTGGCAAGCACAGGGGGCGGCGGATCCAAGACGCCTACGGCGAATCACTGCCGCCCCCAGCCTTTTTGAGAAGCGCCAATGTGGCCGAACGTTGGGCCCCAGCTTGGCCAAGCTATCTGATTATGTATTCCCCCAGCCGCTCCGGAAACTCTTCGGGGAACACTTGGGGGAGGCTGAGGGGGAGGATCAGGAGAGGGAGGAGGAGGAGGAGGAAAAGGAGGAGTAGGAGGAGGAGGAGGAGGAGGAGGAGGAGGAGGAGGAGGAGGAGCCTCTTGGGAGCCTCTTGGGGCACTCTTGTGGGGCCTCCTCGGGGCTTCCCGGGGGCCTCTTGGAAGCCTCTTGGGGGCCTCCTTAGGCTTCTTGGGGGCCTAGGGGGCGTCTTGGGGGCCTCTCCTTGGCCGTCTCAAAGCGTTCCTGGCCCGTCTGACGGGTCTGACGCCGTCGGATGCCGTCTTGGGGGCTTCTCTGAACCGCTGTGGGGTCCTCTTGAGGCGCTTCAGGGCCGTCTTGGAGGCCATCTTGGGCGTCTTACAGGCCTCTTGGGGCCGTCTTTGGGGCCTCCTGGGCCGTCATGGGGCCATCTTGGAAGCCTCCTGGGCGCACTGGGGGCGAGGAGGAGAAGGAGGAGGAGGAGGAGGAGGAGGAGGCGGAGGAGGAGGAGGAGGAGGAGGAGGAGGAGGAGGAGAAGGAAGAGGTGTAGGAGGAGGAGGAAGAGGAGGAAGAGGACGAAAAGGACTGGGAAAAGCAGGCGAAGAGGGAGTAGGAAGAGAAACAGGGAGGAGGACCAAGAGAGGGAGGCACGGGGTAGGAGCGAGGAGACACAGTCGGACAACGAGAGACAAAGTCGGCGCAACCCCCAACCCCCAGAGTCTGGGGGCGCCCCAGAGTCTGAACAGCACCTTTTTCAGATGATATGACCGGGCAGGAGGGGCAGCTGGCAAAAACGCTGGCGCGGGCGCGGTGCCCATCGGAAGGAGATTTGTTCCAGGTTCCTGGCGGGGGGCGCTATCCCGCCAGGGCACCTCGGACAGGGCACCGCGCCGCAAAACATCACGACTCCGAGTCACTGGGAAGACGAGGGAGGGAGGGGAGGACAGAAGAGGAGGGAGGCGGAAAAACGGAAGAGGTGGACGAGGAAGGCTAGGCGTCTTCGTCGTCCGGAGCCGCCAACAGGCTGAGAGCTGCGGACAGCGCGCCTCCATAGTCGAGGGGCTCTGTGTGCCTACGCAGCACAGCCCGCGCCGTGGCCCTGCGAATGGCCACAGAGAGCTGCTGGAAGAGGCGAGCCGCCCCGGCGCCCGCCTCTTCTCCAAGGCGTCCGTCGCTGGACCGAGCCAGGCGGCGGAGGGCGTCCGCGCCCGTGGGGCCCCATCCGCCCGACAGTTCCGCCACCAGGTGGACGAACATTATCCCCTGCCGCTTGCACTGGGCCTCGGTGTCCAAGTGCTCACGCTTGTTCGCCTCGTACGCTTGGGCCGCACGCCTGATAAGCCGTGCCGAGCCATGCCGAGAGCAGCTTGCCGATGCGGCAAAGATACCGCAAAGTCGAAAGCAGCAGGTGTCCCTCGGGATCGAGATGTCACGTACAAGTTCGCAGGGCGACGTCCGTTGACCCGAGTGTCGTCGGGCCGGGGCGGCAAGAGCCCTGGGCGCTCCAGTTCCGGGTTGAAGCTGGCCGACGAAGCAAAGCAACCGACCATGTTGCGGGCGGCACTGTGTCGCAGCACCCGGCCCCCAACGCCTGCGCAAAGACCCGAGTGGCGGCCGTGCCTGTCGCGCACGCCGTCGCAGCGCGGGCAGTAGTGCTCGGACTCGTAGACCGGCGCTAGGAGCCGGCGCTTGACCTCAGTCACGAATTCGTTTGGTTTGAAGAGCAGCCTGAGGGTTTCGTTCGGCGGCGCCTCCAGGAAGCCGCTTGCGCCAGGGAGCTGTTCGGATTGGATTTCCGCTAGGTCTGAGTCGCTCAAGCCAGCGCGGAAGGCCTTGTGGTCGTGGTCGCCCGAAACAGCAGAAAGGCCCTTCGGCGTGGCGCCCTCGAGGGTTTCTGGGCGCGCTCCGCTCGCCCCTGGCCGCCGGGCGCTGTTGGCAAGGAGCGCCTGTCCGGCCCTCGTGCTCGCGTCCTCTGGCGCCCGCTTGCAGGCCGGGTCCAGCGCGGCGCAGACTCGGGCGGCAGCCAGGCTCACCGGGTAGGCGCCAGGCGCGTGGGCCTCCAAGCGTTACAAGCCTAAGCCTGCAAGGGCCAGTCCGCGGGCCGCATGGTGCCATTGCGCGTCTGTCGGGTCCGCGGCCAGGAGGTCGGCGAGCGCGCGACGCTGGCGCAAGGCGCCTCCGAGTGCAGGGCTGGCGGGGCCGCGCGGGCGCTTTGCACGAGATTGCTGAAGGTCGCGCAGTAGCGTGGCAGTAGGAGGCCAACCTGCGGATGAACGTCTGCGAGTGCCGCCAGGGTGGGTTTGGCCTTGTTTGCTTTCTTCTTCGTGAATGCCTCGCAGTAGGCCCAGTCGCCGATGGGCGCGCCCAGCAGCTTGGACCCACCCCGCAAGGCGCAGCGGCTTATGCCGATCTCTGCCTCCGTTAGCACGTCGGGGCGGGGGGGGGTCCGCCGAGGTTTCGCAGGGGCACGTCCAGACGGGGCAACGAGCTCGCACTTGCTAGGGTTCAACTCCAAACCGCGTTCCGGGCGCCGGGCTTGTAGTAGAGCCAGCGCGCGCGCCGCGGCGTCCGCGGGGCCTGCCGGGAAGCCGTCGCCCAGGTAGCACGCGCGCAGGGCCAAGGCTTGCTGGCCAGCCAGTTCCTCCGAAGACTTCGTGCGCGGCCAAGGCGAAGAAGAGCGGCCCCAGAGGGCCCCCTTGCTGCGCGCCCGCCTGAGAGAGCCTGTGTTGGCCGACGCGCAGGGTTGAGTGCTCCGCGTAGGTCCCGCGCGCCTTGCGCTCGAGCTTTGGGAAGCGGGGGCGCACGGCCCGTAGCGCGGCTTTCCGCTTCGAGGAGTTGAAAGCGTTTGCGAAGTCCAGCTTGAGCCTTGCCGCTGTCGCTGGCGTTCCGTTCGCGCCACAGGCGCGCGGTGTGGGCTGCGGCTGCCTGTCGGCGCGGGCGCGGGCCTTCACGTGCTGGCAGAGGACCTTGCCTGTTAAGCGACAGTGGATTTCACCGAGTGCGATCGGCCGGAGCCCTCGTCTTCCTTTTCCAAGGCGACCAGGATTGCTCCGGCCAGGTGCGGCGCATGCTGGCGGGTGGCGCCCACGTTGGCCAGGGGCTGGGCGACGGCCACGAGCTGCTCTTGCAGGGGCGCCCGCGTGCCCGGAGAAAGGGCGTCTTGCATGTGTTGCGCCCGCAGGCCAGAGGCGCTTTTAGCCGTGCCCTTGTTGGGAAAACGCGCACGGCCTTGAGCGCCGAGTTCGGGGCGATCTCGGGCGCGGCCACGAGCTCTCCCAGACTGCCGAGAGGCAGGGCGGGCGCAGCAGGGCGCGGCCTCTCCAGGGCCACCGCGGTCTCCGGCGTTGGCGTCGCGGGGCCCGCGGCGGTCTAGGTGGCGCGGCCCTTCCCCAGCAGGCCCTCCGCGGCAAGAGCGGCGGCGCGGGCGGCGCGCTGCTCCGCGGTCGGCGGCCTCTTCGCTCGTTGCTGCGGCTCTCCCGGTCGCTCGCCGCGCGCCTCCCGCCAGAGAGTCGAGCGCTCCCTGGCTTCCGCCGGGCCAGCCGCTCCATCGTGAAAGCGGCGAGCGCAGTCTCGTTTTTCCTGCCCGTGCGCGGCGGCGCGCAGAGGGCGCGCTTGGCCGCCGTCTGCAGGTCGGTCCGAGCTAAGACCGAGTCGTGCACCACCACGTTGGCGAGGCACCAGGGAAGCGTTCGAGACCAACCTGGCCGGGCTCGTTTGGGCATGTGGCGGAGGGTAGTCGCGGCCGCCGCGTGGGCGCTGTCCAGGGATGGGTGCCCCTCGGAGCCTCGGCTGGCTGGCGGGGCTCCAGGCTCTGCCGCGGGCGGGGTTGCAGGGCGCGCGGCAGCGCGGTCGGCGGGGCGGCAAGAGGGGTGCGCGCCCCTGCAGGCAGCCACGCGCAGGCCGCACACCCGGCATCGAGTGCGGCTGGCCTGGCGGTGCCACTCGTCTTCGACATGCCCGTCCAGCTGGCCACTGAGGCGAGCGTCCAAATATCGGCAGAAGGGGCATCGAGTCAGAACAGGGGCATCCCACCACTGGACAGTGAAGCCGTGCGGGCGGGGGCGGGAGCGCAGGCGGCATGGCCTCGTCGACGTTCAGCCGGCTGATTGTATAGTCTGATCGGTTGTAGACTGCAGGTTAAGTGGGAGGGGGTGTGGGCTCAGGTAGCCATTTTGGGTCCGTAGCGTTGGGCTCTGGCCGACGCGCGGGTGTTCCAGGGGGCCGCGGGGCGGCCATGACCACAGCCGTGCTAGTCCGCGGACTAGGTAGCGCGCCTGTGGTGCCATGGCTGTGGGCTTCCTGGGGGCGCACCTGATGATCTTGGTTACGGGCGGCGCTCTTACGGTCCAAGGGGCACTTGGCTGGCTGCCGTTCGGGCGCGGGGGACATGAGGTCCCAGCGCCGACGCCGCCAGCCCTGCCCGGGCCGACAGCGCCGCCGGCAGGCGGTGGGGGGCGAGGCAAGGGGCGAGGACCGCCCGCCAAGCCCGCGCCTGCAGGGGGAAAGGGGCGAGGGCCGCAGGCCAAGCCCCCGGGGACGCCGGGCGTCCCACCGCCGCCGCGGTCAGGGTCGACTACAACGACCACGACCGCGGGCATCGGGCGCGTAGGCGAGGGCGAGCCCACAGGCAGCCCAGCTACGCCGGCATACGGAGGTAACAACGAGCCCACGGGCGCGCCTGGGCAGCCGTCCGCCCCGGGAAACCGGACGGGCGATGGTGAGCCTGACCTGCCGCGTGGGCTGGACGGGTATTGGGGGTGGAGTGGTTGGGTCCCGCACCTGCCCCATTGGTGGGCTGGCCGGAGCGAACCCCCACCGCCGCCGCCGCCACCTACCCCGCCCCCGGAGGCAGGGCCGGGTCCCGGTTGGGGCTTCGCAGCCTGGGTCTTCGAGGTCGTGGGCTATGGAGCGTGGGTAAGCTCCCCCGACCACCCGGGCACGATCCGCACGAGTGGCGGATGGATTGGATCCGCCGTCGACCGCCTGGGCGTTAAGATGCTTGGGTATTGGTGGGAGACCGCGGTCTTATGCTTCGCCCTAGGCATCTTCACGTTCGTGTTGGGTGCCCTGGCCTTCATCGTCAACACCGCAGCCCAGCCTATGCTGTGGGCTGCCGGGGGACTCCGCTGGGCGTGGTACCAGATTACCCGGTGCTGCCATCGACGCGGAGGGGATGGGCCCGGCGCCCATCTTCCCCCACCCCTTCCGACCCCCTTGCTGGTGCGCTGGCGCGGGCCGGGCTTGGGCGGCGTGGTGGAGACAGAGTTCTACACAAAGGGGGTCCGTTGCCGAGGGACCAATCGGGCATACAACCACGTGCTGCTGCGTAAGCACGGGCAGGTGGCCCGCATCAGCTGCAACTTCGCGGACCGGTACCGATTGGACCGCCACGGGCTCAACATCAAGATCGGGCAGGTCCTGGGGTGCACCAGTCGCAAGTGGCGGCTGAACCTCGAGGAGACAGGGAATGTGCATCTATGTCGTGCTGTCGAGCGCGCCTCCTGTCCAGTGGCGCATCCCATGCACGTCGACCAGTGCGCGGCCATTGACCACACACAGATCGTGGACTTGGCTGAGCACGGAAGGGCCACGGCCTGCCGGGCAGTCGGCGTGGGACTCCGGAAGGTATTCGGGGTCGTCAAGTGGCTGCTTTGCTCACCCTGGTCGGTACTCGGATGGCTGTGCCGGGGCCGGCCGGAGCCCCGCTACATCACCGACGCCACGGGCTATCGCCGCCTGGACATCGACTCGGAGAGCGAGGTGGAGGCGGAGGAGCGCCCCTGCCAAGCCGCACAAGTTGGGGTGCAGCTCGCGGGTGGCGCACGCCCCCTCCAGCCGGAGGGGTGCGGCGACCGAGGGATGCAGGAGGCCACTGTCCTGCTACAGGAGGACGCGGAGGTGTCGGACGTTCCCGGCCGGGGCATTGTCTCAATGCACAGGTGCACCTCTGCGCCCACCATGCGCAGAAGTATCGGTCTACCCTGATCGGCCGCAAGTGCAGCCTCCCCACTTGTCTCCGCATGGCGAAGGGTAGCTGCGGGGGGGCCCCGATGTGCGGGGAACATCTCCGACGGGACGAGGGTCACACCGTGCGCGTCGAGGCGACGGTCCAACCTGGGATCCTCGGGGGCCTGCGCCGCCGCATGCGGGCGCGGGCTCCAAGCCCCGCCAGGGCGCGCGATTGGACCGCGCACGCTGCCGATGGGGTTGGCATAGCGCCCGAGCCGGTCTACCCCCCGCCTCTACCTCCCCCCGCTGCACCGCCACCGCCCGCCGTGGCCCCATCTGTCGATGTGGAGCCCACGGGGGCGCAGGCCCTAACCTCGGGGCCGCAGCCGCGTCGCACACGCTCCGCGGAAGCAAGGGCCAGCGGACGCTCACGGTCTGCCGACCGCGGGGCCCCGGGCGATCGGATCGCCCACCACGGGTGGCTTCAGGAGCCCCTACTCGTGAAGGTCTGCCCGATACTCCCGGGCGACCCTCGGGGAGCCGAGGAGGCGTACGGCGCGCCCCCGGCGAGTCCTTGGTTTATTCTATTGGGAGAATGCGAGGGGCTCGACGTACGGGGCACTGGCGGGGACGCCAGACTTATCATCGGGACTAGCCTCGAGGGCGTCAGGGTGGAGGTCCCAGCCAGCGAGGTCGTACGGCACCCCCCCCCGCTGGAGGACGGGCGCTACCCGATAGATTGGATCAATCGGCTGCTGTACGAGGTCCCCCAAGGGGCTCGGGAAGTGGGGTTGCGTGTCATCGCCCACCACATCCCGCAGGATCTGCTGGCGATGTTACGCCAGGAGCAGTGGGGCGGTGTGGACGTGGAAAGCGCGAGCGGCTGGAGGCGGCGCTACCTGACGAACACGGAGCGCCAGCAGCTGCAGCACGACCCGGTGCGCACACTCGGCCACCATCGGCGGGGGGGCGCGCAGGGGGCGCCGCCTGCGCCCGGGATGGAGGGCTTGCCCCGTCCCGCCCCCGTGGCGGCACTGTCGCGCTTAGCGGCGGCCGCCGCCGGCGTGAGCGAGGATGCCGAGGAGCCCGACCCGCTCGAAATGTTCATGGACTCCTTGCGAGCCGAGGATCTCAAAGGACGGGGGGGCCAAGCGGCGGCCCTCAGTGCATTAGGTATGGCCGCGGACCTGCTCGGGGTTCCGCTTGATCAGGCGGAGCGGCAGCTGCGGCGGAGGGTCGCACAGGTGGCAGCGGCGGGCCCACTGGGGTCCGACCTAGAGCGCGCCCTCGCGGATTTGGAGGATGCGCAGCTGGAAGCGCGCGCGCGGGAGCGTGCTGCGGCCGCCGACAAGGTTCCCCTGCAGGGGGGCCTCTCACGTGAGGGGTCGCGGAGTCGCTCGGCGCGGGGACGGGATCCCAGCCCGAAGCAGGGACCCCGACGCGAGCTCTTCGGTGCCATGCCCCCCATCCAACCCACGGGCCCACGACGGGGCTTGCTGGGTGATCGGGACCTGCTGGCACGCGATGGACGCGGGGGGGCCGCCCGTGGGGCCAATCCGCTCCTCGACGGGGCCTCGGTCCTTGGCCACCTCACTGGCCAGACGCCCCACGGGGGCGGCCTGGGTGGGGAGCGAGCTGGGGGTCCAGACGACGCCGGGGCGGCGGGCGCCCTGGGCGGGCTTACAGTCGAGGCCGAAGCCCAGATCATCGAGCGCCTGGATCGCCAGAACCGCCTCACTGAACGCCACGTCCTCGCCGCCGAGCGGCAGGCGCGGGCCACCGAGGGCGACAAGAAGGCCCGGGGCACCAGGGCAGGGATCGGTCGGGACGAGGAACTTGATCTTTACATAGCCCGGGGATGCAACACCTTCGTGGTTGAGGCCTGCGAGGGTATCACGGGGAAGGACTTGTTCGACTCACTCAAGCGCATGTGTGCGCACTCCAAGAGCACGCTCAAGACGATCGGGTTTCCCTGCCTGGTTACCAACCGTGTGGCACACGGCTACGCGGCGCTCGCCTTCG